GTGGTGCAGGGCGGGGTGTGGTGCAGGGCGGGGGATGCCTGGTCGGCGGGAACCCGGCACGGAACCCTCCGGCGTTGTAGGCGGGTGTGTGAAGCGTTCCCCGTTCTCCTTTTATTTTATTTTGATCGGTCTCCTCGACCCTCTTTCTCGTTTGGTGCCGTAGCTGGTCTTTCTTTCTATCATTTTGTTTCTCTTCCGAGTGGTTTTTGCACCCTATTTTTTTCTGTTTCTTCGTGGGGTCGTGTATGCCGGGTTTTGAGACCACGGGCTCCCAATCTTTCTTTTTTTGAGCTAATGTGAGAAACAACAACAACAACAACAACTTCAAAAAGGTCCAATACTCGGGAGAAATACCGGACAAATACCGATATCGCCCCAATACGGTACTGTATGTAAATATTGGGGCGACGCTCGGGAGAAATACCGGACAAATACCGACATCGCCGGTACGGTACCGGTATGGACTGTGATACCATACCGGGGATGCTCGGTACGTTCGGTATGGACTTGATTACCTTACCGAAAATACGAAAATACCGGTGCGTTCGGTATGGACGTCAATACCTTACCGAAGTGTCCGGTACGTTCGGTACGATGTAATTACCTCACCGCAAATACCGGCACCGTACCAAACACATCCTTTTGAAGTTCTACATCATCTGGGGCCGAATGTTGTTAGAACGAAGTTTATCACCAAATTGAGTAAACTTAAGCTATAAAATGAAAGATGAGCTCCATAGCAACACACAAAAAAATATAGAACAGCTTTCCGCGGGGTTAGCGGCAAGATATTTATGGTGTTTCAAAAAAGTGTCCCTTAATACGGGGTGTCTCTAAATAGATAGGTCGTTTTACTCTAGTCTAGTCTAGTGTAATTAATGAAAAATCCCCAGCACCAACAGCAGCAGTTGAAGACGAGAGCACCACGCAATGTGTAGTTTTGGACCAAGAACGGACAAAACGTCGCTTCTACCGCGTGTCCATCTCCACAACAGACCTGGACGTGAGTCTGGCAGGTCTTTCTAGCGTTCTCAGTGATGTTACAGTGCCCGCGGTGCGCTTGTCCGATGCTTCTGTCAAAAACACGGATCCGTGAAAGTAGCAAGCCTCAAATAATCCCGGCTCCTTCTTTTCACGTTTTCGGGGGAAAACTCCTACATACAGTCGTCCCCGCTTTAAAGACACTCTTCTTAAGGAAACTCCCAGCTATGAAGACACATTTTTTTTCTCGATGCTTTCGAAATTTGTCATTATTATTTTGCGTACCCCCTTTGCTCGCCAAGGGGGAGGGGAAAAGAGCGGAGACCAGGCAGGGCAACACCACACACGCCCCCGGTCTACTCCTTACGATCAGTATAAACATCAGCCACCCAACAGACAGA